TAAAGGACCTGAATGTGAGACAGGAAACCATCAAAACCCTAGAGGAGAAAGCAGGAAAAAACCTCCCTGACCTCAGCTGCAGCAATTTCTTACTTGACACATCCCCAAAGGCAAGGGAATTAAAGGCAAAAATGAACTATTGGGACCTCATTAAGACAAAAATCTTCTGCACTGCAAAGGAAACAACCAACAAAACTAAAAGGCAACCAACGGAATGGGAAAAGATATTTGCAAATGACATATTGGACAAAGGGCTAGTATCCAAAATCTATAAAGAACTCTCCAAACTCCACACCCGAAAAACAAATAATCCAGTAAAGAAATGGACAGAAAACATGAATAGACACTTCTCTAAAGAAGACATCCAGATGGCCAACAGGCACAGAAAAGATGCTCAATGTCTCTTCTTATCAGGGAAATACAAATCAAAACCACACTCAGATACCACCTCACACCAGTCAGAGTGGCTAAAATGAACAAATCAGGAGACTACAGATGCTTGAGAGGATGTGGAGAAACGGCAACCCTCTTGCACTGTTGGTGGGAATGCAAATTGGTGCAGCTGCTCTGGAAAACAGTGTGGAGGTTCCTCAAAAAATTAAAAATAGATCTACCCTGTGACCCAGCAATAGCACTGCTAGAAATTTACCCAAGGGATACAGGAGTGCTGATGCATAGGGGCACGTGTACCCCAATGTTTATAGCAGCACTTTCAACAACAGCCAAATTATGGAAAGAGCCTAAATGTCCATCAACTGATGAATGGATAAAGAAATTGTGGTTTATATACACAATGGAGTACTATGTGGCAATGAGAAAGAATGAAATATGGCCTTTTGTAGCAACGTGGATGGAACTGGAGAGTGTTATGCTAAGTGAAATAAGTCATAGAGAGAAAGATACCATATATTTTCACTCCTATGTGGGTCCTGAGAAACTTAACAGAAGACCATGGGGGAGGGGAAGGAAGAAAAGAAAAGGTTAGAGAGGGAGGGAGCCAAAACATAAGAGACTCTTAAAAACTGAGAACAAACTGAGGGTTGATGGGGTGTGGGAGGGAGAGGAGAGTGGGCGATGGGTATTGAGGAGGGCACCTGTTGGGATGAGCGCTGGGTGCTGTATGGAAGCCAATTTGACAATAAATTTCATATTTAAAAAAAAAGGATTCTTGTACCTATATCCATTTTTTTCTTTTTCTACACAATCCTATAGTTTTGTGAGGGCCTGAGATTTTATCCAATTTAGAAGCTGCAAGCAAGCCTGAGATATTTCAGGGATAATGGCTGAAGACATGAGACTTCCGGGACACAAAGGATTTGACTGCTCACAGCATAGCAAGCATTTGCATCGGTACTTCTTGACCCCAAATCCTACAGTAGCAAAGTGAAAGGTCTCCAGTGGATGTTGTACATGGTATAAATCTGTGCAGCAGCTGAACCTGGGGAATTCACCTCATATACAAGCCTGATCTTTGTCTCTGACCTCATCCTTCAATGTTGTTCACTGAGAAATGACCCAAGCAAAGAGTGGTCAGGGTCCTCCATTCTTGACTTAGCTAGCAAGAATGTAGGGAGTCTTAGGGTACCAGGTAGACTGCCTTTCCCAGCACGGTTTTATTTCAAGCTTACACTACCCTCAATTAACATGGTGAACATTCTTTTTTTCTAATCCCAGAAGCTATTTAAATAAATAACCTAGGGATTTATGTGCTGCTTGAAGTTTTGGTAAAATTCACAGCAAACAATGCCTTGTCAGGGAGGAGGAAGGCGGGAGTTTTGGCAGGATTATTTTAACAGTAATTGACTTTCTATTTTTTTCTTGAGTGGCCATTTTCCAGAAAATTAATCCATAAAGTTTTCGAGTATACATAATCTACTCTATGCATTTTTCATTCAAGGTATTACTTGTGCCTTTTTCTATCGGTCTTTTAAGTTTTCCCTACCCTTCTCCCACTCCCTGCCTGATCAGCTTGTTTCATATTCTACAGCTCCTACATCTTTTTTTTTTTTAACATTTATTCATTATTGAGAGACAGAGGGAGACAGAGCATGAGCATGGGAGAGGCAGAGAGAGGGGAGACAGAATCCAAAGCAGGCTCTATAAGCTGTCAGCACACAGCCCGGCGTGGGGCTCAAACTCACAAACCGTGAGATCATTGCCTGAGCTCAAGTTGGACACTCAACCAACTGAGCCACCCAGGCGCCCCCCTACATTTTCTTCTCATCTCCATTCTCCCCCATATGGAGCCATGGAAACTACTTAAATCTTCCACAGATCTACAAAGGAGTTTAACCTGGAGTAGGAATTATTTCCAGTTCATTGTTTTGTGGGCTGGTCCTGCACACCTTCCACCTTCAGAGTCTATGAAGTCTGTGTTCCCCAAACTCAAGGAACATTTCCAGCTCTTCCAGAACTTCCTCATCTTGCAGTGATTTAGTAGCAGCAGTAAGGTAGGTCTGTGGGCAGAAGTCTGAAGCACAGTAATCATTGAACTAGAGGAGACGCCTCATGTCATGCTTTGAGGCACCCTAAATCCAAGTCATTCTCTGGTTACCCATATCCATCCCTGTCACTTGGTTTGGGGAATAGAAATGATAGTCCAATTGACTCAGTAGGCCATCGGGTTTTGTCCAATTTTCTTCTGATTCTCTAGAACGTAGGGTATCAATGCTTCTTGGGCTTAAGGCCCTGGTTGTTATAAATGAAAAACTAGAGGCAGCTTGGAACAGATTGTGGATCATTGTCTTGGTGGAAAAGATTTTCAAACGGAGTTAAGGCCACCTAATAATATAAATGAGTTGATAAGTATACTATAATCTGGATTGTACTTAAAATTAGACATCTCAAATTCACAGAGATGAAAGTAAAATGGTGGTTACCAGGGGCTGCGGAAGGAGGAAATGAGGAGTTGTTATTTAATGGGTGTAGAGATCCAGTTCTGCAAGATGAAAAAGCTCTGGAGACCCAATGCACAGCAGGGTGAATATACTTTAATGAACTGTATACTTACAAACGGTTACGACGGTAAAAGACAGAAAAGAAAATCAGGTATCTGATACCAAGCTGACATGGGGGATTATTTTGTAGAAAAGCAACATCTAGAGAATGCCACAGACAGCCCTAGTATGTCTAAAGTACTACATATAAACATGGTAATTGCTCAAAGTGACAACACTGAAGCACTGAAAGATACCAAAGTACTTTCTAAATCCAAGAAGTCAAATTACACTCAGAATGGTTTTCAGGTCTTTACCTATCTCAAAGTTCTAATATGCTGACATCTGGCAAACCCGATAACCAGAGCACTCAACAGCCAAGTTTTCTGACCATACATAAACTTACTCGTACTCATCCGGTATATCTCCATACAAATATTTTAAGATTCCAATTTCTTGGTTAAGCTATATATGCTTGAGCTCATTAAATATACTTAGACTTCTCTATTATACAAAGTTAAATGTACAACTAAATTAGTAAAAAGTGCTCACTGTGGTTTATTTTACTCTGACAAAAATGTTTATGCATGTGTACTCTATACTAATACTGCTTTTTTTTAATTCAAAAATTTCCTTCTCTTTTATAACTAGTTTTGTGACTTTTTTGGGTAAGACATCTGTGTCTTTTTTATTCTTACAGATTCTTCTTTTTATTTCTTAGCTTAAATTCAGTACGAGCTTTATTGGTATCTTAGGCTTTGTGTGTGTCCTTGCTCCTCAACACCAGCAGTTCTTCAGAGGTCTGACATCCAGCACGGGGCTTGCTGTGTTAGATTAGTTCTACAAAAAGGATTCAAGACATTTTTCCTGAAATATACAGAATATGTCATGCCAAATCTCTTGTTTATACAATAAACTGGTAAAACTGGTAAATTGCACATACAGCTCATATTCCCAAAACAGAATAACTTAAATATTAAAACGTACCTTTATGTTACCACCAAAACTGACCTTATAAAGCACAACAAATGGAAATACTCAATTAAAAAAAACACACAAAATCCACTAACCGTAAAGTCTGCGTATCACAGGGTAAGAACTCTCATTTCCCTATGACCTATTCAAACTACAGACAGCTATATTTTTTAAGCTACTCTAGAATTTACACCCTAATTAGAAATTTATACGAAACACAATTTTATGTTCAAATATGGAAATAAGCAACATAATTCCAAAACCCAAAAGTATTCCAGCATTCTGTAAAAAGAAATATCCCCAGCGGCTACATCCATGGTCACTAGCATCATTGTGCAGCATCTCAGGTACCTTAAAGAAAAAAAAAAGGGCAACATTTAAGTTTTCAGAACCACAAATTTGTTTTTATTACAGAGCAGTATACAGCATATAGTATACGGTAATATTAGTTGTATACGTAGCTGGATATACTGAGTCAACTCCTTAAAACAGGATCTTAAAACAGGACATGTTGACTCTAGCTAATACTGCCACACAGCATTTCCCAGCAGTTTTATCTTTTTTAATGCCTAGTTGAGAGAGAGTGCGTGCATACGGAGCACGTGCACCGTCAGCGCAGAACCCAATGCAGGGCTTGATCCCACGAACCACGAGATCATGATCTGAGCCGAAATCAAGAGTCAGACACTTGATAATCAACTGAGCCACCCACGCACCCCTCCCAGCAGTTTAATTAATAATGATTATACAGTATGCTCAACAAGCCACAGTCTTTATTGGTCCAGTTTGCTCCACTAGAAGATGAAGAGCTATACTGATTATGCTGCTTCAGTTACTGTGTATAGCTGAACTGAACATGACATATAGCTCACCTAAGTTCAGAGATCTGGAACTCTTACATTATATAGAAGTTCGGCAGATTAGCTGGGATTATTGTGTGGATTTTGGTGACAAAAAAAAAAAGTAACTCCTTTGTCCATTAGTAAGAAACTTATGAACATTCTCAAGTATACACAGCATGCCAACAAAATGTGACATGTGCTGGGTTTCCTACAAATCTATACACAATTCAATACCTGATTACTGAGATTCTACCTTCAAGAAGACACATCAGAAAGGGGTAGATATTTCTGTGTATCCTGATACACATTAGGATAAATGTGCTTGTGATCAATAATCCAAAAAGATAAACTCTAAAGAGCCTGTATTTTCTATGTTACCTTACTAAAGTATAGACTCCCTTATCACTACAGCATTTAATATAAAGCCTTTTTATTTATTTATTTAAAAAGTTAGCTCTATCCCCAATGTGGGGCTTGAACTCACAACCCTGAGATCAAGAGTCACATGCTCTACTGAGCCAGCCAGATGCCCCTTAATCTAAAGCCTTTATAAAAATAAGGTTTCACTGAGCATTTTCTCTATTTTATCATTAATCAACACTATAATTAAACTTCTTAAAAACTTACCATATCAACCAGAGCAACATACATGAATAAGCCAGCAGTAAGTGCAAATATCCACATAGAAACATTTTCAGCATAATGACCAATGAAGATTCCCGTTGCCATTCCAAGATATGCCAGCATGGCTGACAGAGCATTATAAAGAACAGCCTGCTTAACAGTCATGCCAGCCTTTAGTAAAACAGCAAAGTCACCTTTCATAGAAAACAAAAAGGGACAAAGTAATGAAAAATCACTTTTAAGACACAAACCCAACAGATTTCCCAATTTACAAAATTCTCTAATTTTTTGAGGGGAAAAGAAAAAGCAGCAAACTTAAGAATTACCCAGGGGTTAACAGTGTTAGTGTAAATCACCTAACAGCTCTATAAATTAACATTTTGGTTTTTAAGTTTGTGATTGTTTGCTTATTTATTTACTTTGAGAGAGAGAGAGAGAGGGCAGAGAGGGAAAGAGAGAGAATCCCAAGCAGGCTCCACACTATCAGCACAGAGCCTGATGTGGGGCTCAAATTCACAAACTGAGATCATGACCTGAGCTGAAATCAAGAGTCAGATGCTTAACCAACTAGGCCACCCAGGACCCCTAAATTATTTTTTTCCAGTTTTTGTTATGGCTTTCACTTTGTCGATGAATGACAAATACCACAAACCTACTATTTGTGGTCTTGCACTGTCTTCAACAAGCTTGTAACTGGCCATCAAGAAGAGGAGAGTGGAGAACAGATGAAATGATTAGCATATGATAAAGGCAATTTATAATTAAGAGCTAAAGAGTCTAATGTTCCAGTTATAAAAGGAGAAAAAGAGACAAATTAAGATAGGAATAGCTGAGAGAGGCTTAATGAAGCATGAAGGATCTAGAATGTGGAACATAAACCAGATGTTGAGGCTCATAAACATTGAGTAGGCAGATGGGAGGCCTTGTGAATGGCAGAACACATGCCAAGGAGCAAAAGTGAAAATGGCATCACAGGTGTGTGCAAATATGTGTCTGTAAAAAGAAAGACAAGGACATGAACTGGGATCCAGAACAACTCTGGGAAGGTTTTAAGTCCTGGTGACAGAAGAGAAAAATATTCAAAACATAATTCATCAACTTCCCTTTTCTTCAGCTGTAACAAGTCTCTCTGCCAACTTATCTCTGTTAACAAAAGATGACTCTTATTCCTGTGGTCTTATTCATATTGTAGGTATGAAGATAATGATCACTGATGTCACCAGCATGCTGGTGTAAGAAGATATGTGGTAGGGAAAGAGGACAAGGGAGGAGACCCAGGTTTCTCTCTGGCAACCCCACATGGACAATTGTGTAATTATACTTATAGGGTCAGAGTTCTGGCTGGAAACAAACTTGTACTCAGTAAGAAAAGAAAGCTAGACAGGTTAGCAGACTTCTAAGAAGGCATGAAAGTTACAAAGAAGTTTGCTGGAACTCTCAATAGCAAAAGCCAGCAATAGTAGGATACTTCATCCCCCTGGAAAATGCCATTTATGTGGTTCTCTTACCTAATTCATGTGGCAACTCGTGACAAAACACAGCAACAGAAGTACTTAAACCACTTGATAAACCTTCAGTAAAAGCAGCCCCTGGGGAAAAATCAGAGAAAGTTTGGCTACATTATATTGTGGGTGTTTTTAAAAACAACTTACCAGCTTACAAAACAAGGTAAAAGATGTGAACCATATTCTGGTCGTAAATAAACAGAACTTTCCCAGCTGTACTCCGTATCTCCTTTATAAGTAATGTTAGATTACATTCCATTAGGTTTACATTTCCCAGTGGAGCATAAGCAGGTACGAGAGAGAAGGGAAAGTTCCCCTATGCCTCAGAGTGATTAGAGGATCTTCCCACAGACCTGGGAAGTAACTGCAACCACGTAAAACATTTATGTAAAACATAAACTGATTTAAAAGGTTTAAAAGAAAACACAGCAGTCAGGAGTACAAATATGTTTCGCTGGCCTCAGAAGAATTCACTATGTAATTAGACTTGTTTACATTCATTCCTTCATTGTCTACCAAGGACAGTCTAGGACAAATGGCTCCCCCCATTTTAAAAGCTAACACCATATATAACTGACTGCTTATACAGGGTGACTGAGCACCTGCACGTCCTCCTTTGCTGCTCATGCTGTGCACAGTACATACAGGAGGGAGAGCACCAGGCTTCCAGGGGGCCAAGGCCTGGACGCATCTGCCCGGCTGCACAACAGCACTACCTCCTGGGGCAGGTGGTTCGCTTTGCCAGGCCTCAGCTGCCTAACCAGTAATCATTTCCATTGCTCCTTCCAGCATCAAGTTACTAAACTCATAAGTATTCTATTATCTCTCGATTGTGATACAACAATTTAATAGCAAAAACTAGTTTTTTGGATAGAGATTCGTAACTGAACTTATCAGACATGCCAAGATGATTTTGGTATAAAAGATGATGAAAATTCTCTTCCCTTAATACTATTTTATAGATAAGGGAACTTAAATGTAAACAAAAACAAAACCAAAACACATGCTCTGTACACATTAGATCTTGATCTTAAGACTGCAAATTAAAACAACTGTTGATAGTTACAAGTTAGGTAATGGGCTAGGCAGTTGTAGCACTTAACCTTACCTAATATTTATTGAGAACTTCGTTGTCGAAGTAACTACAGAAGAAATAACATTTTGATAATCTTAGAAGTTAACAGCCTTATCAAAATCAACCTATTCTTTGTTAAAATTGGACTGGTAGTTTAATGTGACATTTTCAGAGTCAAACAACAAGCAACTATGTAGATGTATACCAATTGCCAGGCCATCGCTGAAATTGTGCAGGCCGTCGCCCATTATCACCATCCAGGCCAATGTGGCGATGCCGGCGTCTTTCAGCTCCTCCCGAGAGTAGCGCTGACTGTGGCTGTGGGGGTGGTGGTTTTGGTGGTGGTGGTGGTGGAGGATATGATGATAGTCATGATGATGGTGAATGAGATCGTCTGATTGGCCGAGGGTATCATGGAAATGCGAATGGCATTTATTCTTGCACCCTCGGGGTACATATTCATTATAGACTTCTTGCGGATGAGCATGAGCTATCATGACCTCTTCTTCTTCCAAGATTGCTGGCTGTTGAGAATCAAAGTGGGAAGGCTCCTGTGAGTCTGCTCGTAAATAGCCTTCAGGTCCTAGGTATAAACACAAAGGACATTGGGAAAGAGTCAGAAAACTTTGTTAATGTGCCTGGACACATTTCAAACAGTCCCACTGACAAAGTCCAAAAAGATCTTAGAGCATGGCAAGTACTAAACAGAGTGAAGCTTATGAAAAACATCATCAGGCTTCACAGCGACATGCAGAAGAATGAGCCTGGACCACTTTCTTACATACACAAAAATAAACTCAAAATGGATGAAGGACCTAAACGTAAGACAGGAAGCCATCAAAATCCTCGAGGAGGAAGCAGGCAGAAACCTTTTTGACCTTGGGTGCAGCAACTTCTTACTCAACACATCTCCAGAGGCAAGGGAAACAAAAGCAAAAAGGAACTATTGGGACCTTATCAAGATAAAAACTTCTGCACAGCCAGTGAAGGAAACAAACAACAAAACTAAAAGGCAACCTAAGGAATGGGAGAAAATATTTGCAAATAACATATCAGATGAAAGGTTAGTATCTAAAATCTATAAACAATGTATCAAACTCAACACCCAAAAAGCAAATAATCCAGTGAAGAAATTGGCAAAAGACATGAATAGACACTTTTCCAAAGAAGACATCCAGATGCCTAACTGACACATGAAAAGAGCCTCAACATCACTCATCATCAGGGAAATACAAATCAAAACCACACTGAGATACCACCTTACACCTGTCAGAATAGCTAACATTAACAACTCAGGCAACAACAGATGTTGGTGAGGATGCAGAGAAAGAGGATCTCTTTTGCACTGTAGGTGGGAATGCAAACTGGTGCAGCCACTCTGGAAAACAGTATGGAGGTTCCTCAAAAAATTAAAAATAGAACTACCCTACAACCCAGCAATTGCACTGCTAGGTATTTATCCAAACAATACAGGTGTGCTGTTTTCAAGGGGCACATGCACCCCAATGTTTATAGCAGCACTATCGACAATAGCCAAAGTATGGAAAGAGCCCAAACGTCCACTGACAGATGAATGCATAAAGAAAGTGTGGTGTGTGTATACACACACACACACACACACACACATACACACACAATAGAATATCACTTGGCAAAAAAGAATGAAATCTTTCCATTTGCAACTAGAGGATATTATGCTAAGTGAAATGAGCCAGTCAGAAAAAGACAAATATCATAGGACTTCACTCATACGTGGAATTTAAGATACAAAACAGATGAACATAAGGGAAGGGAAGCAAAACTAACATAAAAACAGGGAGGGGACAAACAGAAGAGACTCTTAAATATAGAGAACAAACTGAGGTTTGCTGGAGGGGTCGTGGGAGGGGAGATGGGCTAATGGGTAAGGGGCATTAAGGGAGACACTTGTTGGAATGAGCACTGGGTGTTCTATGTAGGGGATAAACCATGGGATTCTACTCCTGAAATCATAATTGCAATATATGCTAACTAACTTGGATGTAAATTAAGAAAGAAAGAAAAGAAAGAAAGAAAGAAAGAAAGAAAGAAAGAAAGAAAGAAAGAAAGAAAGAAGAAAATACAAACATCAACAGGTTTTATTGAATTTTAAGAAATGGTCTCACAGATTAAGAATGGATTTTAAACTTTAGCCTTCAATAACAACCGCTCAGATTCTTCCTTGATTTCTTCTGCCTTCTTACGTTTGTTTTTTCTTTTTCAAGTTTTTATTTAAATTCCAGTTAGTTAACATACAGTGTAATATCTGCCTCCTTACATTTTTGAAAGATGACTGTTTTCCTGATTATAAAAGCACCACATACTTTAGAAAAACATTTAAGAAAAATACTGAAATTTGGAAATAAAAAACATGCTTAATCCTATCATCCAACTTCTTCTGTTTTGAGGGCAAAGTTCAAGGAAAAACAAGTACTGTATTTGAAATACAATTATCACCAAGGACCATTTATTGTGCAAAGAGAAGTAAATTAAACTGCAACAATAAAGTTTTGTTTTTTTCTCTTTGTCTTGTCCACTGATGACACTTTTCTTGGGAACATTCTGACCCTGTGGTCCAATCCTAGGGCAGCTATTTCTGCTCAATGTTACATGTTTCACTGGACTCCATTAAAAAGGCTGAAGAGAGAAGAGACACAAGAAAAAGAGCAAGAACATTTCACTTACTCTTTAGAGAAAAAAACATGTGAAAAAACAAAGGTTGGACAGGAAACCTTACAAGTAGGCGGTAGCAAAAAAGTAGTTTTTTCTCCTTTGTCAGCTGGCAACTATGTAGTGAGCACCTACACTGGCCAGTATCCTGCTGGGCACTGGGGATGGAATGGAGCATGACAAGGTCTCTACCTTCAAGGAAGTTACGTTTTTGTGGGGTGACAGCCATATTTGACAAGGAAACACATGTATAAATAAGGTCATTTAAGGCACCAGAAAGCATGGAAAAAAACAGAAAAGGTTAATGTGAAGGACAGTGACCGGGAAACCTTTGTCTTTTGGTGATCAAGGAAGGCCTCTGACCCCCAAATGATGGGAGAAGGAATTTGTGTGAAGATCTGATTAAGAGGCTTTCAAGAAGAAACAACAGCGAATGCAAGGCTCCGAGATAAACCTGGTGTGCTCACAGAATGAAAAGGCGGCCAGTGAAACTGGACACAATGAACAATGAAAGAGAGTTCATGGCAAGGAGTCTGGTTTAAAAATTTATTAACTCAATCTGTCTAACAAGAAATGCCAAGCTAATAGTCAAGTTACAGGAAAAATAGGAACTTTACAGTGGAGCATCATGTTAGGTGGCACATCATGTCACTGAAAAGGATACAATATCACGTTGTGGTATTCCTGCCCAAAATGATCAATTAATCATAAAAAAAAAAAAAGAGAGAAACCCCAAGTGGGGGACAACTAGACGCAACATTTGATTCTGGATTATACTCTGGACCAATTTTTTCTTTGGGTGGAGGGAGAATATAAAGGAGTCATTAAGACAACTGGAAAAACATGAGTGATCTCTACAGAGACTAGATAATGGCATAGTATCAGCATTAATTTCCTGATTTCAGTAACTGAGCTGTGGTTATAGAACACAGTGTCCTTTTTCTTAAAAAAAAAAAAAAAAAAAACATACTGAGCATTTGGGGATACACAGACATCTCATCTGTAACTTACTTTCAAATGGTTTAGCAAAAAATTGTGTATGTGTACTCACAGAGAAATAGAATGATAAACGTAGGTAAAATAACTGGGGAATATACGAAAGAGATACAGAAATTCTTTGTATTATTCTTGAAACTTCTCTGTATGTCTAAATTTACCTTTGGAAAAATAAATATAATATAAACAACTTACAATTAAGAAGAAAAGGTATAAGATATTTCAAAAGTAAAAAAGAAAACATTTAAAAAGGGACATAGTCCCCTCTCTTCCAGATAGTCTAAGCTGCCTGTAAATCACGGAGCAATCAACTACCTCCAGCCCTCAGATGTGTTAAGACTTACGATCGTCTGCATCTACTTTCTCCTCATTTGTTGAAAGTTGAGATTCATACTTGGACAGCTGCTTCTTAATCTCCACATCATCATCATTTTCAGGTTTTTTCTGATTCTAAAATGGCAAGGGAAAGCCATACTTTAAAACAGTTGACTTGCTTAGGTGTACAACTGTAAACAAACAGTTAAACAAAAGATTCAGAAAAAGACAACACAGTAAACGAACTTTACTGGAATAAAAGTCACCCAAAGGCAGGCAGGGCCTATAGTTAACTTATACAGCACCTAGTAGTGTGTTCTAGACATAATAACTGCTCAGAAAGGTGAAGTGTCAAAGCTCCAATAATAGGAAATGTTGCAAAATCACATAGTCATCTTTCTCAATGTCCCCCATGTCATCTACTTTTAAGTGTGCTCTGGGAGCCTGTTAGAAATGAACAATCTTGGGCCACACTCCAGACCTAATGAATCAACATAGGGATTTTAACTAGATGCCCAGATGATTCATACACACATTAAAATTGAACCCTGCCCCAGGCTATCAATTTGGAATCAACTAGAGACATTTTCTCCAGCATTTAGTGAGCTGCTAACCAACTACTTGGTTCTCTCTCCATTCCTCTTTTGGACACTGAAACCACATATTTCCCATACTTTTTATAACCTGAAACTATACTGTAACACTGATTAAGTATTTCCTATTAAAACTAAAATACTTTTCCTGTAATAAAACACCATTAACAAGCTTTCTTTTTTTATTAAAAAAAATTTTTTTTTTAATCTTTACTTATTTTTGAGAGAGAGAGAGAGAGACAGCATGTGAGCAGGGGGGGAGCAGAGAGAGAGGGAGACACAGAACAAGTAGCAGGCTCCAGGCTCCGAGCTGTCAGCACAGAGCCCGACGCGGGGCTCGAACTAACAAACTGTGAGATCATGACCCGAGCCATAGTTGGACACTCAACCAACTGAGCCACCCAGGCGCCCCCAGCTTTCTTTTTTTCAACAAATCTCTACTGGTTAGCCTTAAACTTATCATTAGGTTTTTTAACCACCTCAATACCATGCTTGAGATATTATCCTTACCTCTGAGCCCAAGCATAATGGTCACCATTTGAACATTGGTGCCTATGCAGGATTTACTCATGTAGAAGGTAATATTCAAAATGACATTCAACATCTGTCAATATTCAGTATTCAAAACTGTCACACAAATAATAGATTTCTTATTTGCAGTACTTTTGAATATGACTTAATTACTACTGGACCTGAGATTTCATTCTGGTGACAGCATATAAAATATCTGTACATTCTTATACATTTTTAAAGGCAAGCACACAGACACATCTTTTAAAAAAAATTTTTTTTAAATCTTTATTTATTTTTGAGAGAGAGACAGAGTGTGAGCAGGGGAGGAGCAGAGAGAGAGGGAGACACAGAATCTGAAACAGGCTCCAGGCCCTGAGCTGTCAGCACAGAGCCCGACACAGGGCCCGAACCCACGAACCGTGAGATTATAAGTGGGCCAAAGTCGCACGCTCAACCAACTGAGCCACCCAGGTGCTCCCATTTTTTTTTTTTTTTTAACGTCTTATTTAATTTTGAGATGGGGGTTGGCGACAGGGGGAGACACAGAATCCGAGACTCCAGGCTCCGAGCTGTCAGCATCATAAGCTGAAGTTGGACGCTTAACCGACTGAGCCACCCAGGCCCCCACATCTTTTTGTTTTAATGATTATTTATTTTGACACAGAGAGAGAGAGAGAGAGAGAGAGAGAGAGAGAGAAAATCCAAGCAGGTTCTGCCCTGTCAGCACAGAGCTGGACACGGGGCTTGATCTCAAGAATGCTGAGATCATGACCTGAGCTGAAATCAAGAGTCAGATGCTTAGACTGAGCTACCCAGGAGTCTCCACAGACATATCTTTACACCTACCCCTAGCTTAATGCCTTAAACAGAGAAAGTACTTCAATATTTGTGACAAGAGATGAATTCAGGATATTTTATATCACTTCAGTTAATGCTTTCTTATTGGGCAATGACTCACCCTAGAACCTACAGTTTAACCAATTCTTTCATTCTGTAAGTATTGGGGACCCATAATGTTCCCTATGCTAAGTGCTGGCAATATAGCATAAAACAAGATACGCCTGGTCTCTGTTTTCATGGAGCTTATCACCCACGGGAAGGGAGACTGCACAGATACAATGATTAAACAATTCCTCAATTGCTATTTTCAATATGTTTTATAAAGGAAAAACACATAGTGCTATGAGAGTGTATAACAAGACGCAACTAAGTTCCAGGACAGGCTTCCTTGAGAAAGTGATACTTATACCAAGACCTAAAGAAAGCAGGAGTTTGTGGGGGGTGGGGTGGCTGTGGTGGTGCAGAGGTGGATGTATTCCAGGCAGGGAAAAAAGCAGGTGGGAGGGCCCTACAACAGGAAGGGGCCAGCCCCACCCCACCCCACAAATGAAAGCAACGTAAGGTGGTTGGGGCTTAGTAGGTCAGAGACGGGGCTAGAAAGGAGGCTGGGTGGCAGAAAGAGACCTAGACAATGCAAATCAAGTTAAAAGTGTGGACTCTGTCCTGAAAGTATTAACAAGTCACTGGAAGGATTTTCAGTGGTGGTTACAACTTCACCAGATTTTCCATTTAAACAAATCACTTTGCCTGCTCTGTTCTGGAATGGGAGAAGAAAACAATACAATAATGTAGACAGTCCAGTTAGGAAGTGACTGCTAACACCTAGGTAGGAGATAAGCATGGTTTAGACCAGCATCATAGCAAAGAAGAGGGAGAGAAACTGAAAGACTGTGGATGTATTTAATAAAACTAGCTTGGATATGAGGATAAGGGAGATGTTATAGATGACTTTCAGGTTCCTAGAGTGAGCAATAACCTTCACTGGTAGAAAAAAGGTTTTGACGTTGAACTTATTATAAAGGCCCAACTATCTATAAAGTATGAGATGTAACCTAGTCTGCATATAGAGATTTCAGATTGACATACATAGTATGATATATGGAATCGTCCAGAGTACAGAATGGATGTCTTAAGGAAAATGCTAGGTAAAATGTCCTGTTATGAGGCTGAAGAAGCTCTCAACACTCACCATATAATGGAGAGTTTTTATTTAATGTTTCTTATACATTCAACAAATATTTGTTAAGTATCTATTATGTGCTAGATGGCATTCTAGGCATTGGAGATGTGGCAGAGGTCCTGGGTCTTAACAGTTTATATTCCAGTAGAAACTATTTTAGAAAAGATATCATCAAGCTTCTTTGACTACAAGCCAAAGTAATGTGTACATAGTAAAAGACATAATACATCGTAACATCACTGATGCATTTAAAAACATTGGTCATGGGGCGCCTGGGTGGCTCAGTCAGTTAAGTGTCCAACTCCTGATCTTGGCTCAGGTCATGATCTCATGGTTTATGGGTGTGAACCCCATATCAGGCTCTGCTCTGATGGTGCCAAGCCTGCTTGGGATTCTGTCTCTCCTTCTCTCTGATCCTCTCCCACTTGTGCTTTTTCTAAGATGAATAAACAGAAAAATAATTTAAAAACATTGGTGATGACAGAAGACTGATTTCACAACTCATTGAATTATAACCTGGAGTTTAAAAATAATTGTTCTCTATTAAATAAGAGAGAACCTACTTCTTAAGAGTCTCATATTAAAGAGTACCAGATTAAAGAAAAGCTATCTTTAGGTAAATTTGAAAGCTAAATTGAAATTAGAATGTTAAAGAAATGATGGCATTTGAACCAGGGAGACAACAATACAAACAGACCTCTAAACCCCACCTCTTCCAAAAGAAAACTGAAAAGGATCATTTGTTTTTCTAAGGAAAGAATTCCAGAGAATGTAAACAAGTAGGATATATCCTCAAATTAGTCCCAGGGAAGTGCGTGGGACGATGGGAACGTGGAAGAGGACTCCTGGATTAAGAATGAACAAGCTATTCTTACTTCCTTTCTTTCCACTAAATTTAGGTCCAGCAAGGAGAAGGCTCAAAATTTATAGCTTGAGATTTTAGTGGATGTCAAATCTATCGGGGCAAATAGTCACAGGATGAACGAGGCACTCTCCTGGTCACACACGCACTTGTTTCCCACAGGGAGCTCTGTGTTCAGCAAGAACAACTATGTTCGTTTTCAAACCTCTTCATGCCAGTTATACTTGTTATTGTAATTGCACAATTAAATTATGTACAGCTCAAATTGTGAAATGATGGTGAGAATAGGTACATCTGTGAAACCTTAAGTTGAATGCTTTTGAAAGATTCAAAGGCAAGGTGCTAAAAAAAAAAAAAAAAGACTATCAAGTTACGTAAAGCAACCACTGCATAAAACTTTAAAAATTTACAAAACCTAAACTCTACCTTCGAATAGCTTTGCTAACGTATAACCTCTTGCTCAACTTGAGAGAAACTGAAATTGGAGATTGTGGATGAAGTCACATGGCTATAGGAAAACAATGGTCATACGGAACTCCAACTCAAAATCCTGGTCAACATCAAATGACCAGAATATGAATGTATGAATGTTTTATATTAATTAAGACATCTAAGATGTGTACGTGCCATTTTTACAGGATTCCATAAAGACAGTCTTTTGACTGACTTGCCTGGTCACATCAGACGAGAGGTGGCAGATAACCACAGGTGACACATTGGGTGTTTTTACCAGAGATAAGGAGCCTACTGTTTGCCTTCATACTACTTTCTGGTGTCAATTTGCAAAGAACAAGACTGTGAAAGTCAGCAAACACTTTTTTTTTTTTTTTTTTTAAGACTGATGCCTTGCATAAGGTCTTCAGTTCTTTTTTTTTTAATTTTTTTTTTTTTTCAACGCTATTTATGTTTGGGACAGAGAGGCAGAACATGAACAGGGAGGGGCAGAGAGGGAGACACAGAATGGAACAGGCTCCAGGCCTCAGCCATCAGCCCAGAGCCTGACGCTGGGGCTCAACTCACGGACCGCGAGATGCGTACTGGCTGAAGTTGATGCTTAACTTCGATCACACTGGCCACCCAGGCGCCCCACAAACACTCTTAAATGCAACAGAATATTCAGCTACTCGGTGAATAAAGTTAATCAAGCAGTTAACGCTAACTACCAATAAATACCAACAGTGTATCCATAATGCTTCTTTAAAAAAACAAAGCAAGCTTTGGGCTTAGCCTGTCGGTTGGGCATCCTGACTTCAGCGGGTCAATAAATGGTCCATGTCCTGAGTTCCAGGAGCCCCGCCAGGCTCTGGGCTGATGGCTCAGAGCCTGGAGCCTGTCCATTCTGTGTCTCCCTCTCTGCTCCCTCCCTTCATGCTCTGTCTCTCTCTGTCCCAAAAATAAATAAACGTTGAAAAAAAAAATAAAAAAAAAAAATAAAAAAACACAAGCAAACCTTTATTGACAGGTATGATTGACACTGAAAACTGTGCATATTTAAAGTATATAAATCAATGAACTTGGGTATATATCCCTGTGAAACCATTGCCACTATAAAGGCCATAATCGTGATGCTTCTGACCTTTAAGGCTTTAAGGCTCTGCGTGTGTCTTGTTTGGTCGTTTATACAGATGTTCATCCTTTGCAGTTCTTACCCTCGCCTGAGTTTGAAAGGAACACTGAAAATAGAGAACTCCCGGGTTATCAATAATATGAATGCCTCTGGGAACAAAAACTATCTCAGGGTACTGAACTCCTCTCAAATGAAGATCACACCCCCTGGACAAGCTCAGCTAACAGTCTAGTTAGAGTACTACTCAAATAAATATCTGATGTATAGTAAGTACACAGTACTTTTTCTTACCTTTTTCTTCTTATCTTTAAATTGCTTGATCAATGTGAGCACATGTTCGACGAGAAACATGAAATACAAGCCACCCAGAGCTGTCAGACCCTTCCACGTGGAATCAAAATAGGTACTTTCTTCTATGTTTTCAGAAGACAGATGACTGAAAAGTGGCCCTCTCTTCGCTTCCATTGCTGGTTCTTCATGGCTGTGACTGTGCTGGTGACTTGCGTGAGACTAAAGGGAAAGCAACGTGTGTTTTATAAATTCATTAGTTTCACACGTGTCAGAAAAACTGGCCAAGATAATAAGGTCAAATACGAAAACATTCAGAATTAGTCAAGTAATGGGATACTTCAGAGCTCAGAGGGAAGTTCAATACATGAAAAAAAAATGACCCGCAGTCAGCTAGCAATTTAGATCTTAATGTACCATGTGCTAAGGCACTTAACAAACTGCATTTGTTTAGTGTGAAGACAGATACCTTCCTTAATAACTCTCACATAGGTAACGGGTATTTTCAATGTTTGACAAGTGACCAGGGCCACAAATAGCAGGGAACTGCCAGATTTAACAGACATACAGTGTTTACTGTCTACACTCCAAACTGAAAAAGCCCACACTAGTCCTGTCACTGTGGTTACAAGAAGCCCCGTGTGTATCACGGGCCCTGGCAGGTACCTGAGATCCAGGTGTGTGGCCCCAGCAGTCCGCAGCTGGGTGTGGTAGGAACTGCCACCACTGCGCGTCAGGCAACTGAGTGTGGAGCACACCAGCCGAGACAAGATGGGGGGTGGGGCACGGGGCACCCTACGCATCAGCTGCTTGGTGCAGCAGGTATTCCTGAACAAGTGCCTTCTGGGGCCCGGGGAACTTATCACAGCAAAATATATGTAGTACTCTAAGAATGATTTTTTTCCCTGCTTACCTATGAACATCTGAGGAAAATTTAAAGGATGAGATCCGATTATTTTAAGTATTTAATGGAGCTATCAAATAAACTTTACATAATTTAAGAATTTACTTGTGTCAATGAGTGTGAATCTTACAAATTCAACTCTCAAGGAAAATTCATTTCTTGAGTACATAGAGAATCAGTTTATATTTCTGTGGCAAATACACTAATGTAAGCAGATAATTCACGTTGCAATCTATCACAGTAATAATATCTGAGCAGAATCTGTCTCCTTCTATTAACTGGGTCCAAAAAGTTAAATTCTTTATTTAATAAAGTCCCTTAAAGAAAAAAAGCAAAAAACAAACCATGAACATATATGCAGATCTAGAACAAAAATGCAGCTTTCAGTTACCAGGTTTTTTTTTAATTATATTAAAAAAATTTTTTTAACATTTTTTAAAATGTTTATTCATTTTTGAAAGAGATAGAGCATGAGTTGTGGAGGGGCAGAGAAGGAGACAAAGACTCTGAAGCAGGCTTCAGACTCTGAGCTGTCAGCACAGAGCTGACGTGGGGCTCAAACTCACAAACCATGAGATCATGACCTGAGCCGAAGTCGGATGCTTAACTGACTGAATCACCCAGGCATCCCTAAAAAAATTTTTTTTTTAAGTTTTAAGTAATTTCTACAACCAAAATGGGTCTTGAACTCACAACCCTGATATCAAGAGTTGCATGTTCTTCGGACTGAGTCAGCCAGGCACTGCCACAAATATATTTTATTTATTTATTCAACGTTTTATTTTACTTTAAAAGACAGAGAGGGACAGAGCATGAGCAGGGGAGGGGCAGAGAGAGAGGGAGACACAGAATTCGAAAGCAGGCTCCAGGCTCTGAGCTGTCAGCACAGAGCCCGATGTGGGGATTGAACTCGTGAACTGCGAGATCATGACCTGAGCCCAAGTCAGATGTTCTACCGACTGAGCCAACCAGGCGCCCCTCCAGCAAATGTATTTTAAAATCAACTCTTCTAAACCAAATCTCTAACCTTTTATATATACCAACACAAAGAATTCTAGTACAAACCAAAAGTTCTTGAATTTTTTCAATGTTGAATAATACAATATACTAATAAGACAAGTGACTGTACTTACATGTGGGAGGAGGTGTAAAAAAGCATCACCACTCAATGTCCCGACAGCCAGTGCCACAAGGAAACTTAGGAGAAACTTGAAAAACACCCGATTCATGAGAGGCACTAAGATAACGCCCAGCAAGGACAGGAAACTGATGATGGAAATGGCTATAAAGCCACCAACCCAGGCTGTCAAATAAAACACAGCAAAAGGAAAATTATATAATTGTTAAACTTTGAAGAGTTTTTTAAAAGTTATTTATTTTGAGAGAGAGAGAGAGCACACATGCACACAAGCAGGGGTGGGGGAGAGGGTGAGACGGGGGTGGGGGAGGGGGAGAGAGAGAGAGAGAGACAATGAATGAATTTCCAACCAGGCTCCATGCTGTCAGTGAAGAGCCCAATGAGACGTGGGGCTTGATATCACAAACCTTGAGATCATGACATAAGCCGAAAATGATTTGATTTGGATGCTTAACCAACTAAGCCACCAGGCACCCCCAAGTTGCATTTCTTAATCTTTTTTTTTTTTTTTTTGAAGTTTACCCATTTATTTTCGAAGAGAGAGAAAGAGGGAGGCAGGGGCAGAGAGAGAGGAGGACAGAGGATCTGAAGCAGGCTCTGTACTGACAGCAGAGAGCCTGATGTGGGGCTTGAAACTCATGAACTGTGAGATCATGATCCAAGCTGAAGGCAGACACTCAACTGAGCCACCCGGGCACTACCTCACCGCCCCCCACCCCGCCCCAAGTTGCATTTCTTAAGCTAAAGAAATACAAACTCAGTGGAAGAGGGCTGTGGTAATAGAGCAATAACCAAGAAACCTGCTGCTGGCTCAAATCAACAATCTGACTGAACCCTCCTGGTAAAGAATGTAAGTCTAGTGGAAAGCTCTTTCAGATGGGGGTGAAAAGAGGGCAGAATACTGCTACCAACGATGATTTCTACATCATTTGGGAACTGAGCTTTTCGACTCCCATACAGCTAAATTATGAAAGGGAGAAGAGTGAAAAAAAAAAAAAGAAAGAAAGAATGAAAGAAAGAGAAGGAAACCAGGAATTCAATAATTTCTTCAGTGAACAAAGCAACTATTCACCATACTTTTTGAGCAACACAGGTCTACAGTAGACCAGAACTTACCCTAGTTTATTAATTTATTAATAAGAACATACCATTAGGCTCCTAAACAGCAGATATTAACTCTGACCTTCTGAAACAGTGGGACAACATAGAAAAAGCCCAAATTTTGGATGGCCCTGTGGGATGTCCTCACTTACAGTATATTTTTGTTTTTAAGGCAAGGCTAACCAACTTGCTTTGTTCACACTCAGGGCAGAGAACAATTAAGATTAGGCTGAAAATGAATGGATTCATGTCAATATAGGGAAAAGGACAACATAAATATACCTACTTGAAATTATCTTTACATAAGAAAGGCTACCCTACCTATTTGTAAAGAATAGGTCTTTGGAGGGATTTCAGCTTTCTTTTCACTCGTTGTATGAATTAGACACGATCTAGCGTCAATTTGATTGATGATGGCTGGGCAGAGATAGTTGAACTCTGTTGCATTCAGCAGAACCCGGATGCCCATGCCATGAGACGTGAGTAACTTGGACGCATTGAAACACTGTGGGAAACAAAGCAGTGAAAATCACCAGAAAGCATTCCCATTAGACAATCCAAAAAAACTGTCTGATGATACAACACCCTTTCCACACTGAAGCTACTTCCTTATTTTTTCAAGTCAACCCATTAGCATCAACTGTTGTTTTGAGTACTTTGGAACTTGCCTCAAGCTTCTTGGTGATACTGTGTGACAATGGTGGTGTCCCACTTCTTCTGCCTACTTCTTGGGAGAAGCAGTTTAAATCATCTAGAGAGAAAGCCCTGAGCGGAATAACCTTCAGGATAAATGGACATTCACAAGCCTGTTAACTCATTGTATAAACCTATTAAGGAAATGAGCTTTAATTTTGAGATGGGAACTCATTAGAGATTGAGAAATATGTTGATTTAGTACTAACGCTACCCTACCTGGCCTAAACAAGTCCAAAACATGTCACTCTTCCAGCAATGACTGTACTTGCAAAACTTAGCTCAGTTCTATCTCCCTGGCAAAAGCTCTACAAGAACGAGAGATTAAATTATGCCAATTACTCTTGCGGAGGGCAAGGCTGGTTAATAAAACAAACCTGTACCAGCAGGCAGCTGTTTCAACAACGTAATTAGACGACAAGCTCAGTTTGAAGAGAATCCCCTCTAGGTAATCTGAACGCCCCTTCTCACTCATACACAAAATTGGCAATGGCATCTGTTTCTCATCTTCTGTAAAGTTACTTTAACTTCCCACAGTTCTTGGCAAATACTACTCAGAACAAACTTTATTACCGGTGTTGCTATGGGAATGACCATTAAGATTATTCTGGAATTGGTACAGTCATATGATGATTTGAATGAAGTGTTCTTTAAGTTTTGATCATTAATGTGTACCAACTAATTCCTTGTTCTTGACCTCTCTCAGCCAAGGAAAACTGTGCACAGTCTGGAAGTCTAGTCTAAGAAAAATACATGAATTCAGAACCTCACTGCCCAGACTTTTAATTTGTCCACCACATGGTTCTTGGTAGCTAGGACTCCACAAGCCACAGAGATACTTCTTCCAAAAAGGTAACACTATTCTTCTTGCCTTCTTTTGTGTCTTCAGCCACACCTTTCCCTAAAACATGGATTCTAACTGTTGCTTTTGTGAACTCCCATTTTCTACTTTTCATGAACAAAATCTACCTTTTAAAGGTATTTACTCCAAAAATAACTGATAACTGCCTTCCACACTCATTTTCAATTCTATTAGAAAATAGTTTTAGCTGCCAGCACCATCGTTACCAAAAAACTATCCCCCAAGTTTTGTATCAGGAATGTTTATTTTTTTTTAAATTTTTTTTTAATATTTATTTTTGAGACAGAGAGAGACAGAGCATGAATGGGGGAGGGGCAGAGAGAGAGGGAAACACAGAATCAGAAGCAGGCTCCAGGCTCTGAGCCATCAGCCCAGAGCCCGACGCGGGGCTCGAACTCATGGACCGCGAGATCGTGACCTGAGCTGAAGTCGGACGCTTAACCGACTGAGCCACCCAAGTGCCCCGTATCAGGAATGTTTATAACACAGTAGAGATCAGGACTTTTGGACCAAATGCCTGGATGAGAAAGCAGACATTCCCTTTTCAGTAATTCATCATTTTATTTTTACTTTATACTCCTTACAGCTAAAGATAGAACGGCAATGATGGGACAAACAAGCAGGCATAATGAAAAGCAGTCATCTTACCTCCTGAGTATTTTCATTTGTGTTTCTGGAATACATAAAGCCTTTTCTGGGCTCACTAACAGATTCATTTGTTTTCCTACTGGCCAGCTGGCTCATCCGGCCTTTTTCTGTGATACTGGGTGGAGTAGAACTGCTCACATCTTTGGGGAAAAGTTTTCCAGGTTTTGGAGTGTCTATTGTCTCTAGAAAGTGAGTTCCTTCAGAGACAGTGTTATACATAGTGGAGGTCACTTCACTAGCCGTGACACCATCCTTGATTAAAACATTCCTTCTACTGTTAGCATGTTCTGATCGGTGAGATCCTTTTCCCTGGCTGTTTCTGGGATCTTTACCCGAACTATCAGGCTCATGGTCTGGGCAAAGAGCTTTCCGATTATTTTTATTGGAAGGAGCATGATTACGGTGAGAATGGTGATCATGGTCAGAGTGATGGTCGTGGTCATGGTGTATATGGATTTTTTTAATCTTATCTATGCCTATATTCTGAAGCAATTTCCTGAATCCTTCAACTGACAAGGAATTATTTTCTCCATAGCGATGGAAAAGCTGCTGTAGATGATGTCGCCGTGTGGTGACTGCCAAGTCAATGTTAATGCCAGATTCCCAATTTGTAATAATTTTCTCAGTGGTCTGAGGGAAAGCAGTTGCTGGTTCTAGTTCGTGGAGGGGATTTGTGACTGACAGGGTGAGGGTCAGAATCAAGATTACAGATAAATTCCTCGCCATTGCACCTTCCTAGAGAAAACAGAAAAAAAATTCTTGCTTTCACTTTTAAAACAATTTGAATTAAGAAATTTCATGCTGAAAATTGATACTGAACAATCAAGGTTTACAGAGTATCATTTAGTATGGTTAGTGTAATGCTACATACAGTGAAAATATAAAGAAATATACAAATATACAAATATAAAGAAATATACAAAAATACAAAGAATTCTAGGCCCTACCCCTGAATATACATGAAACAACTGGAGAACAATTGAGTGCTAAGGGACCATAATTAGCACTGAGAAAGCAACAAGTAATGCAGAAACTGGAGAGATTCATGTGGTTGCAGCCATACTGGTAATTTGTTATGGTAAGAACAATGATTCAAAATGAAACAAAACCCAATTATCTCCACCATCATTATTATTTCATAAAACAATCTTTTTTTTTCTTTTTCATAAAACAATCTTTTAACATCGGAAAAAAAAAGTAGAAACGGTAATCTCAGAATTCACATTTATAACTTTTCTTAACTGTATACAAATCAATTTGTCTTCTCTCTCCCAATCCCACTCCTCAAAGGCAACCCATTTTGCCAGTTTCTTGTATATCTCTTAGGATATTTTCTATCCATAGTCAAGTAGATGTGTCCTTTAATGACACAAATCGGATCCTTTTTCCCACTCAACAAATGACACCTTTCAGTGTTGGTACATACAGATTGATCTCATTCTCTTGAATGACTGCAAAATGTCACCTCTAATTTTTTTTTAATATGAAATTTATTGTCAAATTGGTTTCCATACAACACCCAGTGCTCATCCCAACAGGTGTGTCACCTCTAATTAAACTTCATTAAAAAAATCGTTATGTTCCTATAAAACAGTAAAAATTTTATCATGGACTATCATCACTCATTCACACAATAGTATTTGGAAACAAAGGCCTAACCTCCAGGAAAAGAATCAAGTTGAGCCTTGGGGCACCTTGGTGGCTCAGTGGCTCTTGATTTCAGGGTTGTAGGTTTGAGCCCCACGTTGGGTGTAGAGATTTAAATCTTAAAAAAAAATCTTAAAAAGAAATCCCATTTTATTAAAAAAAAAAAAAATCGAGCCTTGAAAAGCAGAACTCAGTTAAACAAGAGAAGGTATAGTCCAGATAAGCAGAAGGACTGATATCTCAGGACCCAGATGTGCAGCACCAATGATGGATGCTGACTGTGACCAAATTCACCTGCCTTCAGCCAAAGAGGTGGAGGTCGGTTCTAGAGCTAGAGAGCAAGGACGGGGTAACTTAGTTCTACCACTTTCAGCCGTCTCCTGCACCAGGAAAAGCTAGTGCTAGGAGGGCTAGCACCTTACAGGGCTAGACTCCTCAAAGAACAATTTTCCGGGCCTGAAGTTTTGGGAATTCAGTTAATATGCAAAGGATAAAGATTAAGAAATCATTCGCAGAAGAGAAAGTCAAGGACCAGAGTGGGTGGGGACAAACACAAATGGGTGGCTCAGAGGGCAGCTCCATGCCTTTCTCCCGGGAGGATGCTTACTTAGGGCGGTCAAGGACCGGCCGCCGGTTCTTCCCTACAAGTCAGCGTGTGTTGAAAAAAAAAAGAAAACCTAAAGACAAGGGCCTGGAAAAAGGGGAGAGTGGAGAAAACGGGAAAAAAGGGCACAAAACTGCTTCCAAAGGCTTTCGTATTTTTAAACACGACAGTACCTTCCTCGAATATGAGATGAACAGGACAGACCGTTTCCTCCGAAAGTCCTCCGCTGGACTCCGCAACCCATCTATGCACCCGAAACTGGGAAGTCCGGCCTCCACGGACCGCGAGGTTCCCCCTCTCCGCTGTCCCCTCCCGGACCTGCGGGACTCACCTCTCCGCGGCCTCGCCGTCCCACGGCCCGGCCCCGCGCGCCGGTTCAGTTCCCCGCGGGCGGTCCGGAGGGCTCGGAACCGGTCCGTGCTTCTGTCTCAGAAGCCTCTACAGGGCACGGAGAAGCGGCGGTCTCATCTGCCCGGCTGTCCCTCGGGCTGGGCTGGGGTACCACCGCGCAGCCACCGGGAAGCCGCGCCCCACGCGCCTCGCCTCCCAGGAGCAGGAGGACAATTACTAATTACCGCCGCGCGCAGCGCGCCGCCGCGAACCACCGCCTCCGCCAGCCATGACTGCAGGGCATGCGCAGTGCGGCCCGGAACCCCGTCCCCGTCAGGCGGATCCACGAGTCCGCCTGTTCGCCCGCGCCGCGGGGCTCGCAGGGGCGGGTGAGACGAAGGCGCGGTCAGAGCAGGCTGTGAGAGCCGGCACCAGTTAGGGGCCCTTTCGTCCAGCCTCTCCCCGGCCCTGCGCCGCTCTGAGGCCCGAAATTCGCTCTTGAGTTTCCCCGGCCAGCTTCCGTCCGCTGCTGGGAGCCTGGCCGTGAGGGGCAGCGGGACGTTCCTGACGCTCCCGCGGCACACGAGCCCCGGGTCTTTGTGGAGGACCCTGAGCTACTCCACGCGGTCTTCGTTCCTGCGACGCAACCTGTGCTTGGGTGCTGGGCCACGGTCCAGCACAGAGTGCCGGTAGCTAGCTGCGCCCAGACACTGAAGACCGCTCGCGCCAGGAGAGTGGGCGGACCCGGCGTGGGCGTGGCCGCCTCCGCCCCGCCCTCGGACGCCTCTGAAAAGCGGTGTGGATAACGCCAGCAGGAAAGGCCACCACGCGGGTAGTTCCGCTCCGAGGGCGGAAGTGCGCGTCCAGGCCTCCGCCGCGGCCCAGCCAGCAACATGGTAGCGCCCGTGCTGGAGGTAACTCACGTGTTTTGCTGCCCAAACCGGGTGCGGGGAGCCCTGAGCTGGAACTCCGGGCCCGGAGGACTTTTGGCCTTCGGCACATCCTGTTCCGTGGTGCTCTATGACCCTCAGGTAAGAGAAGTGGCTGGACGCCTGTTTCTATGTTCTTCGGGGTCGGAATCCTCTGGGTGCGCCGCGGCCAGACTGTAGACACTCCTGCAGGGCGGCAGATAGGGTGTGTGGGCGAGGGGTCGCCTTGGGGCGTGCGGGACTCGTGTCGCACGCCGCGGCAGCCTGGGGTCACCGTGTACTGCCAGTAGCCTGTTAGTCTCACGTAGCCCCCCACCTGTCCCACGTAACTCCCCACATGAATGACAGCCGTTTCTGAAAACTTCCGTGGGAACGGCCGTACTGTTAATGAGTTCGGGTTTTAAAAGATTCGCCATTTAGGTATGGATGAAAGCCATTATCACAGGTGGTACCTCACTTCTGTATTTCCTTCAGATTTACTTAACAAGCTTGTATTGGGTTTCAAGGAAATATTACTTGTATTTTGACTTAGGGAGTAGATATTTTAAAGAAGGCGCCGGTGGGGTAAATGTCAAAGGGATTAGGAATCCTAAGCAGTGGTTATAGGGCAGGGAGTACATATTCTTGGAACTTTACCAAGTCTATTGATTGTTTTCTTGGTGCTTTAACCAGGCTTTTTTTTCTCCCCCTTTAAAATGTTTGTTTATTTTGAGAGAGAGAACGCATGCAGGGGGAGTGTCAGAGGGAGAAGGAGAGAGAGAATCCCTAGCAGGTTCGGTGCTGTCGGCCCGCGGAGCCCAACCACAAGCTCTGTCTCACCAACTGTGAGATCTTGAGCTGACCGGAAATCAAGAGTCCAGCGCTCAATCTCGGGAGTCCAGAGCTCAATTGACTAAGCCACGCAGGCGCCCATAACCAAACTTTCCAAGTGACTAGTTTTTGCAGTCTTACCAGAGTTATTATGACTCCATTCCCACTGTCTGATTTTGGAGGATACAATTAGTGTCGCTTCTCAAAAGGAGCCTCAGTGTAAAAAATAGAGTGCTAGAAATGAAAATGCAATGCAGGAGATAGCTCTATGTATTTCTTATTGTACTGCTTTATTTGATTAAAAATCTCATTCTCATAATCTTTTCACATTCAAATTTATATATGAAATAGCTGTGTTTTCTGTATCTTGAGCTGGCTTCCTGCCTCTTTGTTTCCTATTGTTGCCATGCGTTCTTTTTTTTTTAATGTTTATTTTTGAGAGAGCATGCACGTGCGCATACGTGGTAGGGGAGGGGCAGAGAGCAAGAGAGAGAATCCTAAGCAGGCTCAGAGTTGTCAGTGCAGAGCCCCAACTTAGGGCTCAAACTCACCATGAGATCATGACCTCAGCTGAAACCAAGAGTTTAACCGGCTGAACCACCCAGGCGCTCCGCCATGCCCTGCCATGCGTTCGTAACTGGCAGGAGAAAGCATGGAAAACCAAGGAAAACTTTACTGAGACAGTCAACCAAGGACTGACTCAGCTGTAGAGGGCAATTTTTCTGCAGCCACTTAATGTATTTGTGCCCGTGTCTTCCATCACATTTTTACTTTTAATGATAGCCTCGTGGCCATGTTAGGGGATTTTAACTTACCAAAAAAGAAGTATGTTGGGCCTAAAAAGTACTTTGTTACATATCTGTTGTTTGGGCTCTAAATTAAATATAGGAATAAGAGCATGTCAGATGCTAAAGTAAAGTTTTGGTGTGATACTCAGCAGATTTTTGAGGACCCTCTGTGCTAGTCCTGGACTGGGTGGTGATGATACAAAGATAATGGGTAATAATTCCTGCCCATCAAGGAATTCTTAATCTAGTGAGAGAGACAGTGAAATACTATAAATTGTTTCACAGCCTCAAATAACTTATGTGTGAAATATACCAGTTTTTGCACATTCACATCTGAATTTCAGTTGGCATTTAAGCAGATAGGAAGCTTGTGCTGTTCATAGTAAATAGGGAAAGTGGCCCTAAAGAGGAAGGCACTGTAGTCACAGAGTTAATATCTTCAGTGCGTGAAGTAAAATAAAGCCCAAGTGTGGAGGGATGTTACTGAAAGCACAGTCTGAGCGGCTGCTGGGAACTTGACTGTACCCCTTGAAGGGATCCCATGTCTGAAGACCTTAGTTGTGGCCTGGTAACTTTGTTTCTTTAAGGCTGATGACCCAACATCTGATCAGCCATGGC